TGTAACTACAACTTTGATCAATATAATTAAAGGTAAAGAATGATGAATTTTGGGCAAATAGAAGGAAAAAAATGATTCGTATTCTTGTTGAGATTAACGTTACTTGCTTCTCCTTTTTCTTTTTCGGGTAAATCGATAGACTCATTAGACGGAAACTTTCTTTCGACATTTTGCTTTGCCTCAAGGAAATTCTGATAAGAAACAAATAACAGGCAAGGATGAAAGTTGCATGAAAAAAAAGACAAAAGATGAGTTGATATTGAATTGATTGGAACGTTATAGAAACTTTTTTTTCCTCCAAACTCTTTGCTTCTCTTTTCATGACTACTTTTTCTTGTACAACAATGATACAATTGAATAAGTTAATTACACTCTAATTAGTTATTTAATCAAATAGTTATCGTAAATAGCTACCATGATTATGGTTAACATGTAAATGATATGGTAACTTTGTAATGTTATTAATGTGCCAAACAATGTTTTTATCTAACAATATCTAATGGCAATGTTGAGCCAATAAACTATTTGAGCAATAAAAGTTAATGGCCTCAGTTTGTAGGTTTGCCCTTCAATTTTAATTTAATACATCATTTATTTTGCATTATTATGACAAAAAATTGATACAATTCAGTAAACTAATCATGCAAGATAAAACACTATTGTGGTGCCAACAATTTTGAAAAATTTGAACATGAAATGATTTTGGAGATGAAACAATTTGAACATTTATCGAAGTACCGACAGTTTGCCACCATAAGTGAGCTAATGACAAATGGGAATGGCAACGAGTTTGAACAAATCTTTTTAATAATTTGATATGAAAATAATCGGAAAAGATGTGAAGTCACAGGTCATTCAAAGTCATGCGTTGATTTGATCTTCATATGATAAGGTTAAGCAAAAAATGTCAATATTGTTGAATTAAGATGAGCCTTCAACAGTGGTTTCAACTTGAGCTTCATCATCGGATTATTTTGCATTATTATTTACTTTCCTAGTGACTTGTAAATTTAATATCAACTTTATTATCAGAGCGTAGCAAAGCAAAGCGAAGATTTAAACTCATTTAGCCATTTTGAAAATCCACTTTTTGATTCCGTTATGATATTGTTGTAGTCGGTTATTCTCATAAAGAAGCGTCCGATCAGTATTGCTGTAACTGGTACAAAATCAAACAGAGGAGCATGTTAAGCTGTCTGTGTATAGCAAACTTCGTAATATCCAAAACGAATCTCACCAACACTTTCAATATTTATTCCATCCAGAGCATAAAGTGGAGGTCCTAATAAGTGTTGACAAAATTTTTTAAGATGTTCTTTACCATCACGATTGAAATCGATTCCCAGAAAAATATGTGGGGGCAACTTTTTTATATAAAAATTAACCATTTCAATGATTAACAAATTTCAAAGTTGAAAAATATTATAAATGTGGACAATGAGCCTAGGACTGAGCTAATAAGCTTCTTGAACTGAATCGAGAAAATTCGCTCGTATGAGGACTAGGATACTCAGATCGATCGTTTGCTGGTTCAAAACCAACGCCTTCAAACCCGAAACCAGACTGTGGGCTGAGGTGGCAGAAGTCCGCAATGAACTGACCAAGAAGGACCGGTTCATCACCTACATTGATTTGCGCTGCGAACGCGCCTTTGGTTTTCCTCAAGAGGTCTTCCAGGAGCGGTTCCTGGATTGGCTCGAACTCAGAGACTCGGACAGATTTCCCGTCCTGAAAAACGCAGTCTTGTAATAATAACTACTAATCAATAGTAAATTTTCAAGTTAAATGCGGCTGAATGGTTTAATAAAATAACTTGAGCAACATAAGCATGATCAGATGTTATTCAGGAATTAACCCAGAGTCTCGACAGTGGAATAAACTTTAAAATATTAGAAAAGATTTTTTGTCTTTTTTTGTTTCCATTTTGCTTTCACAAGCAAATCGAGACAAAATATTTTCATCTTTCAATGCTCTTTGAGTGTCAAAAGTATCGCAATATTATGTAAACTGGACAATGATTTCCTAATATTGAATCCTGTTTTGGTTGAATAGAGTTGATGGAATCAGTTTTGTTATCTCAGGTAGACTATTGAAACTCATTTTAGTTGAAACTTTACAGAATCACATCATATTCTTGAATTTATATCACTACATGTTACATGATGGGAAATAAGAAGAAAAGAAAGTATGGAAAAAACATTTGCAAGAAAAGAAAAGGTAATTTTTGCAAAGTTTACTTGAACAAAAAAGGGAAACAAGAAACTACACAAAAAGGTGATTCCCATTCAATTTAACTTTATTTTGCAGAAAATTCTTCTTTTCTTTCATGAACCAAAAGGTGAAGCTACATGGCTAATATTTTCTCTGAACATGAAGATGTAAGAGAAAGAGAAAGAGAGAGAAAAGAAAAAATTCCCTTGATAACAATTCTTCTTCTGGTCATGAAGGTAAAAGCATACGAACTTTTTATTTGCAATATAAATGTGTGACTATTTTTATATTCAGCTATTTTCAAATATCTATTCAAGTTCTGACCTTTTATCCTTTATCTTCTTCATTCCCTGTTATATTATTATTCTTGCTCTTCTCATTTTTATCTCTTTATTTCTTACTTTTTCTTCATCTTGATCGTCTTGAAAAGGCTTCATTGTTAACCCATTGAAATGGATTCAAGAGATTCGAGCATATATTTGAATATTGATCACAAGGTTAAAGATGATGACGAGAAGGAAAAAGAAAGCAAAAGAAAGCTCAGTAGATCACACAGAATTTCATTTGGAAGAAATGTTTTTTTCTCTTTTTACAGTTCTGAATAGCAACAATACAGTGTGTTTCAAAGTTAATCCAAACGTTTATCCTTCATCGAACCGAAAGTTCACCAAATGTTGCTAAATACTTTCAGAAAATTCATTAAACCATTTCGACAGTTTCAGTTCAACATCGATCGAAATCGAAAGATTGGAAAGTCTGAATATCTTCACAGCTGTTAATCAACTAACGATAAATGATCGATTCGACGATCGAACGATTCGTCTGTAAAAATCCCGAAAATTCTCTTTTCGTTTTCGCTTGAGTTTTCGTTGAATTCTCGTTGGTCTCGTTCTCTGGTTGTTGATATATTCTGGTTCAAAGTTTTGGATTGAAGCACACTGTAAGCATTATTACAAAATTATCAGTCATGAAATGTTGAGCATTCAGAGGATGGAAAAAGGAAAATTGTTCAACATTTTGTTGCTCAAAAATGATACGAAAACCATTTGAATAGTTCAAAAAAAGGGTTCTAAAGTGATTTGAAAAAATATGTTGCAAATGATGATGATGATGATAGGAATGGAATCATTGTTAACTTGAACTCTTTTATTGTGAGAAATTTTTTCCGTATTATTTTCACATATAAAAGCAACTGAATATTAACAGATGAATTGTCAGGTAAATTACAATATGATAATCTGAACAATAGGAATATGTGTTTATAATGACAATTGTTGTTAAATTACATGTTTATTATAACAATGAAAGGTAATTGAGCAATCATGCTTTTGGAACTTTTTTAATTCGAAAATGGAAAAACAACAAAAAATTGTTTACAAAAGTAAATCAAAATTGATATTAATTGTTTACTTTTTATTAGCATTTAATTCAAACGAAAATCAGCATTTCTTTCAAGTGATAAAGTTCAACAAAACCTCCAAACTTAACCTTTGCTAATAGTAAAAGACAATTTTTCTCAATTAAATGAGATAATTGATGAACCATCGTGAACAATCGATTTTTCATGGAAATCTTAAATTCGTTGATCAAGTTTTACTGTAAATGATGAACAGCTTCGTTTCAATGGCAAATCTGGTTTGTCCAAAGTCTTGTTTTAATTGAAATCGACATTGGCTTTGAAAATGGTTTTGAATGTGATTTAAATCAGGTTTAATCAACAATCAAAAGTGAATTTTGCTTTTCTCACAGAAACAGTTAATCATGCAATGAATGGTGAAATGTTGAAATTAGGTTCAACTGAATGATTACATTTTTCAACACATTTCTATCTATTTATTTTCTAGTTGAATATATTCAATTTAAGTTGTTCAACTTTTAGGGAATAATTTTTATCTTGTTATAAAACTTGACTTGGTTTACATTTTTACCAAAAAATGGTTCCTTTATTCAAAATATAATTTCATTTCTCAGTCTATTACATTACGACAATTTAACAAAATCACTTTGCTCTTGATTATCTCATTTCAATTTTGGCTTTCAAATTTTTCATTCCAAGTCAATTGGCTGGTTAACTCGTGAGTTTCAACTGGTTAAATTGCAAGTTACATGCAATGGCCTGGAAATAATGCAATATTAATAATTACAAGAAAACATGGTTAAATCATACAAATCACTAGGTAATCAAAATCAAGTTGAAATTGAATTTATTACAATAGAGAAAATTTCTCAAAACTGGATGCATCCAAACAAAAAAAGAGTGCAATTTAAAACTCGAAATTTAATCAAACAATTTAGCCAATTTAAATGTAAAATTGTCATTTGTTCATTTTTGTTTCTCGTTTCAGGGTTGACCATTGAACTGTTAAATTATCAAAGGTAGATGAGTGATTAAATGAAGGTTTCATGGTAAAATAATTTCTTGTCAATCTGTTTTTAACCACATTTTTAGTCAACTTTTAACCAAAGGATTCATTGTTGCTGTGAAATTGGTTGACATGTTTAACTGTGTGATATCATCAGGCTTAATCAACCTTTCATAAAGACATCAAAATTCATGATGAGATGAACTCAATGTGTTACACCAATGAGTAACATCAATTGGCCAAACAGCGCGTTGAAAGATTGACTTTTGGCAAAGTGATGAAAAGATGATTAATGGATGAAACATTGTTTCCACTTTTCCCTCTTCTTGTATCACAATATTATTCACACTTTATTTGATGTTGGTCAACAATATACAGTTAACTCGGGTTGTTGGGTTAATTGTTGAGTATTGAGTATTTACTTACCAAGAGGATGATCCATGAAAAGGGTTACTTCATAGGCAAAGATCAATGGTAAGTAGAGTTGACAAATAAATAACCTTATAGTTGTTAATATTACAAATCCAATATGGTTAAACATTATTAATTGATTGAGATGTTTATTAATTTCCATTAGTTACATATCAATTGTATTTAACACTAACAGTGTCAATTGTAAATTACAATTTAATTTACACTTGTTAACAATAAGGTGATCTCCGGCTTTTTCAATGTAGACAGATGTTAATGGGTAACAACCATTTTGCAGTCTTGGACACTTTTTGTAAAGATGACATTTTTTTAAGCTTAATGTTGAGTTTTAATCACAAACATTGAAAGGAAGACAAAGGTTTCACCTTGAATTAGCCAATGAAAAAGGGTTGAAATTCCATTTGACAAAAGTTCAATTTCATTGGGATTCAAATTCACCGTTACAAGTTCAACTTGCAATTGAACTGTTACGATAAAGTTTACTCCATGTAGTTAGCTTGACGCTAGATGGCAGTCACTGTTTTTGTTTGTCTTTTTGTCTCACATTGCTACTGCCATCTACTGTTACTAGGTTCAAAGGTAAACGAATCTGGTTTTTTTTCATTTTAACAATTTTGTTGCTCACTTTTTATCTAATTTTTTAAATTGTTTGTATCTTTTATATCTTTTAGTGTTCATTATGTTTGTTGTTATTTTTACTTGTTTTCTTGGTTAGCTGTTTAAATTGATCTTTGAGTAGACTTTGCTGGGTTTTTTCCTTTGCTCAGCTATACTTCGAGTTACTCCAGTTGAATTTTGCTGTTTTTTTGTTTTGTTTTTGTTGTTCGTTTCTGGTAAGTCTTTTGTGCTTTTCTTGGGAAACTTAATGCCGATCTTGTGACTTTTCCTCTCGCATGTTCCCTGTTAATTACTGCTATTGTTTTTGTCATCACTTGATTTCTCGTTGAACTCATTTAATCCCTTATATTTATTGAGTTGATGTTGCTTTCAGTTACGCCTTCTTTCACTTGCATCATATGATTTATGTCTCTTCGTTTGTTGATGTTGTGAAATGAAGTCTTTCTTGAAGCTCTTATTCTAATATTTTTGTGCTTTCATTTCTTTTTTATTCATTAGATTATTTTTCTTTCACTATATAGACCACTAATTGAATACAAATCATCATGAAGAAGAAGGTGAGTAATTTTTGTTCATATATTAATATCTAACAGCAACACTAAACGTGATAGACTTGGAGTAACTGTCATTGTTTGTTAGCCAATTAGACCTGATATAATTGAGTTATCTGCCATTTCATAGCAATTTAATCTTAATTTGACTTTACTTATCTTATCAATTAACTAAACCCTATTGTTATCGCGCTCTTCGCCTTTTCTTTCCATTTATTCCCTTAGGTGCTTTTGATGGGTAAAAGCGGGGCTGGTAAAACTTCCATGAGATCAATCATATTTGCTAATTATATTGCTCGTGATACAAGAAGACTTGGAGCCACAATTGACGTTGAACACAGTCATGTCCGTTTTCTGGGTAATCTTGTACTTAACCTATGGGATTGCGGTGGTCAAGAAGCATTCATGGAGAATTACTTTGCCTCTCAAAGGGATAATATTTTTCGAAACGTTGAGCTTCTAATTTATGTTTTTGACGTTGAATCAAGAGAGCTTGAAAGAGACATTCACTATTATCAATCTTGTTTAGAAGCCATTCTTCAGAATTCTCCCGATGCCAAAGTTTTCTGTCTAATTCATAAAATGGATCTCATTCCGGAAGAAAAACGAGACTTGGTAAGAGCTTACTCTTCATAGTTATGATTTAGTTCATTACAAATCTTACAATTCCGCTACTTTGCATTTTCAACTCTTAATGTTTAATCCATTTCATTTTACTTTGTTTTATCAACAGATATTTCTTGATAGAGAGGCAGAATTGAAAAAACTTTCAGAGCCGATAGATTGTAGATGTTTTCGAACTTCCATTTGGGATGAAACATTGTACAAAGCTTGGTCTGAAATAGTCTACACCTTAATTCCTAATGTTCAAGAACTTGAACGACATTTAAAACATTTTGCTGAAATAATTGAAGCAGATGAAGTTTTACTTTTTGAAAGAGCTACTTTCCTTGTTATATCGCATTGTCAAAGGAAAAATCATCGTGATCATCATCGATTTGAAAAAGTTTCCAATATAATTAAACAATTCAAACTTAGTTGTAGCAAATTAGCAGCACAATTCCAAAGCATGACCGTTAAAAATTCAAATTTCGCTGCTTTTATTGACATCTTCACACCTAATACTTATGTTATGGTTGTCATGTCTGATGCGACAATTCGTAAGTTGAAAATGAAAAATTTATTCAAGTTTCAAATTTTAATCTAATTAAACTTTTATTTCTATACTCTTATAGCTGCTGCCGCAACATTAGTCAACATTAAAAATGCTCGTAAACATTTTGAAAAATTGGAAGGAGTAAAGAATCCTAATTCACAGGCAGGAGTTGGCAAGAGATAAATCAATTTTACAAGATCAATGAATACCTCAAAAATTTCAAATCAAGGAAAAGTGCATCATATTTTTGTGTTACAAACTATATATTTGTGTATGCAAATAATCAATCCTGTTAAACTAAAATGAAAACGATCAATTTGTCCTTGTCAATGAATCAGGCCAGGGTTGAAAGACTCAAGCCTGACTACTCGGATACTGTGAATTCTCATTAAATCAAACACAAATAACAAGTAGATGTTTAATAAGGTTAATTTATTGTTTCTTGGAACAAGTGTTTTGAACAATTATCGGTATACAGTAAATTCACACTTATTTTGACCAAAAAATCAGAGCCATCTATTGGTATCAGAGCTCTAGCCCTAGAATAAATAGTGCTAAGATTATTTAAATAGTACTCTCGTCTTACTATGCCAATATAATAGACGGCGCTGTTTTTTTGGTCAAAATAAGTGTGAATTTACTGTAATATGAAAAGAGGTTGAAAAAATAACCAAAATATTTAATAATTTAACAAATTCAATCACAATTCATCCTTTTTATTAGGACTATATCTACCATAATAAGGTTTGTTTTCTATCATCACTTGGTCACAATATTTCTGCTCAACCAAAAAATCTTTAGCCTCCCAGGCTTGTGAACCATCTTTAAACATAAATATAGCTCGATTGTCATCAATGATGAATCTTTCAGCAATTATATGATTATTCATTAAACTTGTTTGCCACAGAGCAGTTATTTCTTCCGTTTCTTGTCTAGTTGATTTTCCGTAAACTGTAACGAAAGTCATTAATGTTTTTCCTTTCTTTGAAGCTTTTAAAACATCTTCAGGATTATTGAAATTAAATCCAGAGAAATCCACTTTCGGAGGTTCTCTTTTCCATTCTGGTAGCTCATCAGGTTCCAGAGGGTCATCCTTTTCTTCCCATTCATCAAATAGCCTTTCCATGTCAGCATCGTTGTAATCTCGAATATCCTTTTTACCATTGCAAAAACAATTTAAGTTCGTAAACAAGATTAGAAATAGCATAAAAGATCGGTATTTTGTACAGCAAGACATTGTGCAGATGTATCAAAAAGTTGAACACAATTAAATGCAAGAAGAACACGGATTAATATTATTATTCAGCTGGGAAACGAAGAATATAATTCAGGGACAATCAAAAGATTTGATAATCACTTCATTGTTAAAGATTTTAAAACTCATCATTTAAATCATATGTTTAATGCTTAATCAAATGACACGCGCGAAAGAGAAATAGAAAGGCAAAATCAGATAGATTAAATTATTACCCAATAGATAGCAGCTCTGCTTTAAGTTACAAATGTCGGCAAATTTTAAGCATTTGATGAAAGCGATTTTCTCAATAAAATGTTGACAGTAAAGATCGTTTTAATTTCGCTCCGATTGGCTTGACTAGAGTACGAGTATTAGAGCGAAATGATTAATGATAGATTCAAAGTTAGAAAATCGAAGAATTCCCATTTTTTAATTTGGAATACTTATTAAGTAAATTGAATAAATAAATGAATAAATTAAATTTGTTTTGAAATGAGGTTTCAATGGATGTCAATCCTGCCTTGATTAAGATTACAGTTGGTCTAAAAGCTGTTTGACCGTATCGTAAGTCGCAATTTCCATAGATTGAATTGCATCAATCCTTTTCATCAAGTTTTCAATATTTTCCTTGACTTTGATTGGTAAAACAATGAGATAGACTTGTAACAAGCGACGAGACTCTTGAAGATAGGCCATTGCCAGATAAATGTCAATTGCTTTGGATAATTGCTGTCGTTTATTGTTATCTTTGACAAGATCAGTTATTGGTGACAACAACCCTGATACCAATTTTGGATCTTTCACCAGTGAATCTTTCCAGGCTTTGAATCCTCGAGTCCTGTATAGACTAGTATCCCCACCATAAACCCTTGCGTGGGTCGATTTCATTAAAGCCATTGAAAAATCGTCCAATGAGTTATCCGTGTTTCCATCTGATACACCAAAATTAACCAACAAATTTTCATACAATGATTGAGCCTTAGCTTGAAGCTGACCAGAGGGTAAACCATTTTTCAACACTGGTTCAACTTCAGACCAAAATTTAATGCTTCCACCAAGTGTAGTTGTTCGAAAATAATGAGTTCCATAGGTTTTAAGAAAATCAAGGTACCGAGTTGGATCACTTTCATAGCTTTCAGGTAACTCTTGTTCCAAGTAATCGGAAAGAAATTCAGATAGATAACGTCGAAGAGGAAGTTTGGAAGGCATATTAACTGTGAATAAAGGTAGAGTGGCTTCCATTGTTACCAAAGAGTAGGATGAATTTATCATGATTCGTTGAAAATGTGAGAGTGACTGTGTTTCTGAAAACCATCCTTTGGCTGAGGTACGGCCTAAACCAACAGCTGAGGAGAGATGATTCTTGAGAATACGGAAATCCTCGAATAAACGAACTTCAGAGGTTTGAGGAACAGTTGATTCCTGTTGTTCAATATTTTTAATGTTTTGTATTTGGTCTGGTACATCGTATTCTTTACCGCCAATGGTCAACTTACGGAACTTGAAAAAGAAATAAGACGAAAAATTGAGTAATTCATTTGTTCATCAAAACATCGCATGAACAATGAAAGAAAGAGAAATGATTTTATGAAATTAAATAAATGGTTGAATATAAACTTACCTTGCGACAAGTAAAATCAAAAAGGTTTTCAGCAAATCCATCAGAAGCGTCAACACCGTAGTCGTGTAGTAGATCAAATTTTGTAATATCAACTCCTCTGGCTATTGTTTCCAATCCTGGCACAATATTTTCACAAAATGAAGATGGACCAGTTGCCGTTGATTGACCAGAAGATGATGAGCCTTGTGATCAAAGAGTAAAGAAGAAGAGACAGATCTCGGGTTGATATTAGACTCGGTTGTTTCTGAATGGTGTAAACAGCTGATGCAAGTCAGTGAAGACAAAAAGAAAAGCTGTAACTTTACAAACATTGTTTCCAGCAATTTAGGCACGATAACCTGTCAACCTTAATTGCCTATTACATTTTCACAATCTAACCGTCTCTTATGGCCATGATTGCTCAATAATTTACCTCTTAACTCACCAAACAGGATCCAAACATTGCTGACTTAGTGGATTGACATAGTTTTTAGGCCGGTTTTTATTGAATCGCCGTTCAGATGGTTAACATGTCATTCATTAATTCATTTGATTGTGGTGTGATTGGCTTTCAATAACAACTTTAAATTTATAACAAATATGGTTAGATGAACAACAACCATAAAAAACAACCAAACTCGTCTGCTCTTCTTGACTCATTGTTTACAGTTTAATGCAAATCCTTGCCTTTACAATAGCTTGAGAACGTTATGGTTTCTAGTGAATCAATTAATTGGGTTCAGGTTACAGATTAAATGCTCATAAACAGATATAATGGAATACCTTCAAATTTTGATTAATTATCTCACTGAATCCATTTCTGGGTTATTCTGAGTATTTAACTTTTACATAGGAGTTGATGAAAGGAGTTGACTTGAAAGAGTTAATTTGCCGATTTCAATGATAATGCAGCAATGATCAGTGTTATTGTGCAGAAGATTTATTATTTTTCATTTTTGGCTATTTCGATTAGTTAATTGTTAGTAATATCTAGATGATTACAATTGTACAAGCCCATGGAAGTGTTGAAGTCACATGGAACGGAAAAAATATCAATTTGCAAGAAAGTTGATCAGTGAAGAGAAGCTTCTCTTCGCAAACGGATTTCCTATGTAAACTTGAAATAATTAATTGATAAAATAATTGGTGGTTAACTATCGGAAAAGGAAGACAACTTACCAATTATTAGTGCGAGGCAAAGAGGAGTTGTAAATAACATTGAATTGAAATTTACATTTTATTTAATCATTAATCTACAAGTGATTATGGCATGAACTATTTGCTCAAATTAATCTCACTTGAAAATAATACGATCAACTTACACGAAAATTTTAACACCTTTGATAATCTCTTTTTAAGCCCGCGAATCCATTATGTCAACTAAATTAGGCGCCCCTTTTATACAAACAACCATCGTTACTCTCTTTCATTTATCCTTTCTCACTTTAAACCCATCTGCTGCTCGTTGGTCAGGCAATCCACCTGAGTATCAACTCTTTCGAAGTAAGCTCTTTGGCTTAATAAAATTCAAGTTTCCATTGAATTTGTTTCTTGAAATAACCTAAATTTTGTATTGTTTTATCAAAATCTAAAGCTTATTCATCAAACCAGTGTCCGCCACTGGATATTGCTAATGGATATGTACGCATTGGTAGGAGAACCGCTCGATTTCGATGCCAGAGAAACTTTACATTGGTTGGCGATCAAGTTATTTATTGTCGTGGCGATGAATGGTCAGGAAAAATACCAGTTTGTGCAGGTTAGAATACTTTAATCTCATGATTTACAGAAGATTTCAATTTGTTTTCTTTTGCTTTTCATCTTATACTTTTTAATCTCATTATTTGTTAAAACATATGGACTACTTATATTATGTTTTTTTGCTATTCGCCTACATTTAGCTGCTGGATGCTTGAAACTTAGAGCACCAAAGCAGGGTATAATTAAATCTACATATCGGGATGTATCTGCGACCATCAGTTGTAATCCTGGATACTCGGTTGAAGGTTCAGCAACTGTTTATTGTGATGGCCGCTATTGGAATGCCTCTTATACACAGATCTCTAACATGTGTAAAAGTAAGTCTTTAATTATTTTGGTTACAAAATTACTGAAGAGGTCTCCCAATCTCTATCCAACACTGCTTTTGAAACAATTTCTCATGTTTAGTTGAACATATGAAGTTATTACTTATCAAGTGAAAAACACTTTTTGATTCATTTACTCTGTTTCTTTCCACTTCTCTATTAAAGAATCGTTAAAGGACCCATTGACTTCATGTGACTTTGAATCTTATAGTCTTTGTGGATGGACATCCGATGACCCGGAACGAATAATTTGGACAGGATCCGATTCATACCAATACCGACCTTATGGAATATTATCCTTAACTGATCACTCTGGAACAGGTTAACCATTTTACATTTCATTCATAGATTCAACAATTGACTCATTATTCCAAGTTTCTAATAAAATATAAATAATTTCTTGTTAATTATGTTTTATGTTATCTATATCAGGTCATATGATGCTTGCTTGGAGCTCAACATCACCAACGGCAATAAATCGTTTGTACTCGCCCGTTTTTGAGGCAAAACACAGTGAAGCGTGTTTTGTATTTTGGTATCATCTCGGTGAGGTTGATAAAATAACCAATCCTTGTGAGTAACCTTTTGAAACATTTTGGAATGTCATTCAATTTTCTAATCTTTATATTTATTTTGTATATTCAGCTCCGTTCAAAATATACATCAAACCTGAACTGATTGCTCTTTCTGATGTAACTCCATGGGATTTCGTTACTCCTGTCGAAGCTTATAGTAAATGGACTTCAGGGCAAGTTTATGTACCAAAATTGAACCAAGATTGGCAAATTGTGTTTGAATTCAGTTCGTGGCAAAATATTTATGCTTTCGACGATTTCTCTCTTCAAGATGCTACCCAATGTGCTTCTCGAACAGCACAATTTACTGGAATTAAAAATAATTGGCTTTCTTGTAAAGATCGATGCTCATCTTCATTGGCTCTCGAACCTGCCAGCTCTTGTAGTTGTATTATCTATTGCACTTTTCTTGATACTTGCTGTCCTGATTATTCATTATATTGTTTAGCTAATTCAACCAAAGAGTAAGTAGCTAAATTTTCCTGAAAATAGATGTTTGCTAAATATTGACTTACATTTTAATATTTAAATTCATAAATCTGCTTCAACAATTTTTATAGAGACAATGATGACCTCATGGACTTCGATAAAAATGACACCAATGAAACATCGTCAATAACCTTATCGACCCTTGAAACAACATCTGGTCACTATGTGCCACCCTTACCTACTCTACCTCTTACCACTCTTACATGGCTTTTCACTACTTATCCCACTGCAACCACACAATCAACTACAAAACAACCAATGAAAACTGTTAAAGCTAACCTGACAACGCAAAGTCCCGTTTTAATGACGGATACTACAAAACCTTCGTCAACTAACATTCCAGTACAATTTCCGGTAACATCGCCCACATCTGTCAAGGAAACTAAAGTAACTGCGTTGATAAATGGTTCATCTCTATCTACAAGCTCTGTGACCCAACAATCAGTCACCACAACAACTGAATCGGTTAATAAAACACTCACAACAGAAGACCAAAAGCTGATCAAAACAAATTCCTCGACTGATATTGCCAGTAAAAATACTACTGATTCATTTGGTAACAGTACTCTACTGGATTCTGTAGAAATCATCAATCAAACCACAACTCTAAGCACTCATGATTCATCGATAATATCAAGCAGATCGAATAATTCAACAGTCAAATTAAAATCCTTCAATGGTGAAAAGGCTAAATTGAGTGTCTCACAGAGCTCTAAAATGGAAACCATTTCAATACTGCTTGGTGCTTTCATGATTGTTTCTCTGATAAGTGTTGTTATCCTTTGGAAGAAACATAAAAAGATTTTTGGATCGAGCGTTTCAGCTGATTCTGAGTTGCGGTTTCTTGCCCAAGAAGAAGATAATTGAACAAATTGATAACTTCATAAAAGAAAAGCAACTTTACAATTTGGCCTTTTATGGTTTCTCTGAAACTCTAAATCTCAAAAATTTTATAATAATTATTCAGTAAAAAATTGGTAAATTTTTAATATAAAACACGATTTTTTCTTTAACTACGTAATAACAATTCGAATATTGATGCTCACTTGTTTTTTCCGATGTATAATAAATTTTACAATGATTTAAATGTATTTTTTGACAAGCTCAATAAATTCAATGAAGAAACCTGAGAATTCATATCATTAACTTACAATTAATCGTATTCTTTGGATCCAAAAAGTTTCCCAAAAATTGATGTTTCATCGCAATCAATTGAGAAGAAATTGACAAAAAGATGATGACAAAACATTTTAATTGATTTTTTATCATTAGAAGGAAATCAAATTTAAACGTTTCGTGTATAAACGCTGGACATCGCTTTTATTGTTGAATGTAACATCGCGTTTTGGCTATAAACTGAAAAAACACCTTTTAGATGAAGGTAACCAACGTTTGACTGCAATTAAATTAGTCCGAATTTTCTGGACTTTATATTCAAACGCAATTTTAACTCGTATTTTCTAGATTGGCTAATTATTTCATCAAGACAATTCACTGAGTTTAACGCAGCGACTTTGGGTATTTCTACCAATTGAATCGCAGACCAAACCGTCACCACAAATCTCTGGAGCGCCAGCAATAGCAGCACATTTATCACCATTTTTTAATAATTTCATGCACCCTGGACAACATCCACAGAATCCATAAAATCTGACCCATTTTGTATTTGCTGGACATTCGCTTTCAGTAATGTTAATACATCTCACATTGTCACAATGGGTAGAATCGCATGAAGTTGAATAGACATAGTTGATGTAAACACTCAAACAAAGGATGAAAACAAAAAGATATTTCATTTTTAATTTCACTGGAAATATTGAAAAGAAATGAACTGAAAGTTAAAGTAATCAGAAGAGCACAACATCAGTAAATATCCTTCTCTATTTAAACAGCTTGAAAATGACTCCTTTGATTCCTCAGGCAATGAGATAAAATCGGTTGCATGACAAAATAGAAAGAAAAGCTTTAATTAATGGTTTATTTCCAGTTACGAAATTGTTTTCAATCTTTTGATTACTGATGATTAATATGAACAAGATTGTTTTTATGCATATGATCACCAAAATCATCATAAACATCAATTACTTTAAGACTGATAAGTCTATGGCAGTTGAAATGATACAATCGCGATGGTTTAAATAAATCACTACGACCATTAGCAAGAGAAAAACAAAGTGATCAGATTGAAAAAATTAAAAATGTCGAAATTAGAAAAAGTACATTTGCACTTTCATTTACTAAAATTCCCTTTGAAACATTAACAAAGAAAAGGATTTCCATAATTTATGAATGATAAAATTTGATTCAAAAAGTTCATTTTAGATTGGAGCAAAAGTTTACTCCTAAAATTAAAGCAATGACGGTTTAAAGTTAAATTGTGCATTGAAATGCGTGAAAAAGTCTTTAAACCAACACTGTATGTGAATGCTTCTCTATTTTCATGATGACTATCAATTGTATTTGTCGTCAAAAATGGTTGTTAACTAACAAAATGTAAGTTACAATTGTTGAAAAATAACTGGAAAAATTATTCAAGCTCTGCTTGATTACCAGGGACCATTTCAAAAATGAAAACTGTTTTGTATACAAATTACAGAATGTTAGCTACAATGTAGGATAAACATTGGTTCCCTATGGAAACAAAATAAACTGTTGTCATCTGTAATTTTTGGGTTTTGATTTAATTTGATATTATTTGATGTTACACGATTTATTTTGGTTTAGAGTTTTTTAAATAACTTCAAAATGAGCAGTTTCTTATCAGAGCTGGAGCAGGTAAGTGTGTTTTCTTTTTTCATGAACATGTAGATTAATATGTCTTGACAAGGGTGTGCAGTCAGGCTACTTGAATTATGTTTCTATTTTTCTGTATTCTATTATTGAATAGAAACACCTCTGTTAGCACTGATTAGATAGATTAAGAATGATTTAAAATTTTCTTGTATTTATCCTAAATGATCAAATGTCAAAACTTATAGCATTTTTATTTATATTTGCTCTTTTTCTCTATTCCAGGATCCATTTGATCCAAAAGAGTTTGTTGAGAGACTGGCATGGAGAGCCACAAAGGAATCAAGCACATTTGACTCTCAGACTTTGTTCGAAGATTTTGAAGCTCGCATCAGAGAGCTCAAAGATATGTATGAAACTCATGAGAAAAAATGTGAACGGCTGGAGATGGTTTGTAAAGAAGTGGAAAAAAGACATTGGGTTAAAGTTGCTGAGCTTCAGAAAAAGTGTAAACATTGCTTCTATTGTTTCCAAGAGTTGGATGAAAAATTGGATACAGTTGCAGCCAAAGTTGTCTATTTGGGTGATCAACTGGAAGGTGTAAATACACCTAGAGCTCGAGCTGTGGAGGCACAAAATTTAATGAAAGAGTTCACGACATTTTTCAAAGATGACGCTGACAATCGCATGAATAGTGAAATTGATCCTTCTCAGGTTAGTTTGATTTGCATAAAATTAGTCAATGCTAAATTGAATTGACATCTTCTAATGGTTTTATTTCATTATATTCCCATCTAGCTATTTGAAAAAGCCGATGTAATAGAAAAATTGTACAAAATTTCACAAAAATTGCCCAATGGTGGTAAATTTGATGGAGCTAAAAAGCGGATAGAGGCAAAATATTACCAAATTGAAAAGGATTTGATTGAGGAATTCTTCCAGGCCCAAGTAAAAGACAATAGAGCTCGGATGAAAGAGATTGCTTCGATTCTATCTCAATTCAAGGGTTATAATGAGTGTAAAGATGCATTCATTGAGAAAAGTCAAGTTGGAATTTTTCTTGGTGTTGGTATTTTCAATGATATTGTACCTTTATGTGAAAAATCACAACTTATTATCCAAGAAGTATTTGCTGATCCTGATAGAGTGATGGCAAAATTTGTCCTCAATATTTATCGAGGCAAACTTCAAGAGTATATTCATAATAGATTGAACAATGACAAAGATATTCCCGAAGAGTTTCTCACTACTTTACATGACCTTTATTCAAAAACAGTTAAACTCTCTCAACAACTTGCCTCTTCCAAAATAATGGGTGTTGATCTTGACTTTCTCAATACACTGACGCGAACCATTTTTGATTCTTACCTGACTGCCTATATAGACACTGAATTGAAAACGCTGAAAAACAAATGCGAGCTAATATTGCAGCGATTTTATGATTCTAAAAATCATCAGAAAAAGCCAATACCTGTTGGAAGTATTCAAGAATTGAAAAGAGATTTACAGGCTAAAATTGGTCGTGCCAATCTTAATTTAGGCTCAATATCTGGAGGCATTAATCAAGATTATGGAAATGAAACGTTGCTATCTGAAGAGGTTGCCATAAATCTTTTACAAGAAACCAAATTGGCCCTTAAAAGATGCCAGACTCTATCCAATCCTTCCAACGCTGCCAATAATGCCACACAAATCTTTGAAATGCAACTAAATTATCTGTGCATTGAACATATTGATTATGCTTTGGAAATGGGTCTTAATGCTATACCAACTTCGGAACCCAAAAGTCAACCTGAGCTTCATTATTTTGAAATCGCTCGACAGTGCAATGCCATTTGCCACCTATTAGAGAAACAGCTGGTTGATAGTCTCATTCCTCTGGTCATGTCAACGCCCAAGCACGGTGAATGTATCAAAAGAAAACGTGAAGTTCTGGAAGGATTGGAGGTTAAAATTAATAATGGATTGGAACGTTCAATAACTGCCATAATATCATGGATTAAAATTATTCTCAACACAGAGCAAAAGAAGACAGACTTTAAACCCGAAACGGAAGATATTGAAATGATGCAGACTCCGACTTGCGTTAAAGTTGTTCGATTTTTGAACCTGTGTATTAACAAATCTAGAGATTGTTTTGATGGTAAAAATGTTGAAGCTTTAATGCTCGAATTTGGTACAAGATTCCATAGAATAGTTTATGAGCATCTCATGCAGTTTCAATACACTTCCTTAGGTATGTTATTGTTCTATGTATTTAACTATCGATATCGATATTGTTCTTGAAATGTTATGATTGATTCTCTATTTTTGTTAATCTACAGGAGCCATGATTGCTATCTGTGATGTCAATGAATATCGTCGATGTGCATCCGCTTTTAGAGTGCCTTTAGTGAATCAACTTTTTGATACTCTTCACGCTCTTTGTAATTTACTGGTAGTCGCTCCTGAAAATCTTAAACAAGTATGCAATGGAGAAACATTGGTGAGTAATTTGCCCTTCCATTGTAGTCTGTACAATTATCATTTACAATTTAATGCTATTTAGCCATCTTTTTAACAATTTGCTTTTCTTTATTTCAGTCTGGTCTGGAAAAATCAGTTCTCATTAACTTTGTAGCTCTTCGGGCGGACTATAAATCAGCAAAGCTGATAAATCAATTCAAATGAAATTATCACCATCTCAATTTAATACATTAATTTATATCATGTTTTTGGACATTTTTTTAAATTTAGCAATCATGTTATCGAATCAGTTGTTGCTGTAAAAATAATAAAGTATATATTAGTATGTATCAGTTTGACATTCAACTTAATTTATCTCAGACACGATTTAGATTCAATAAACTCAACTAATAAACCTCCGTAAGAATCAAAATTGGATTAATGCTAATGTATTTTTCGAGATTTGATTGCTTATTGCAACGAAAATAAAAGTTAAACAGAAAAACGGTGTTTCGCTAGTTATCAATGATGCTCTACACAATGAACTAACATTATGTTCCATTGTTCAATTTGTGAGGCTAGCTTACATGTAAACTGAATTGATATAATTTAAACAAATTGGTTTAGACAAGTAAGGTTGACAAATTATGATGGATACTTTTATTTGAGTTGGTAATTCGCAATGTCAGTTAGATTCCTGGATAATTGTTGAAATGATTTAGATTAGAATGGCTCATAATCCTAGTCCTCGTCCAAGGAGTCTATTTGCTGGATATATCATAGTGTAACCAGATTGGCCAAGATTAGCACCTGTGGATCAAATTATGGATTCACGATTAAGTGTCTATTAGATCAGATTAAATGCTCATTGAATTATCAGTAAATCTTCAGATTTGCTGATTCTCTCTTGTTTCATTTTTTAACATTCAAGTTGTAGGTGTCTCTACAAGTCAGTGAATCTCGTGTATTTTTAGCTATTGTGACAATAGTCTTGTCTTTTCACGTTGACTCATCTTATTTGAATTGTTCAATCTGCAGAGCAACTTGAAAATAAATCTATCTTTATCACATTTACTTTTGTTGACATATTTCTTTATGAAATTTTGGTCAAAAGTGCTCAACTTTTGTTTAATTATATTCCCTCTACTATTTCATCGAAAACTTAAATAACTAAACCATGTCTTCTGATCTGCAAACTATTTCTGCTGTTAAATGTTTTGGTGGACAACAATTCATCTATTCGCATTACAGTGAAACTCTTAAATGTACCAGCAAATTCTCGTTATATTGTCCACCGCAAGCTTCTGAATCCAACAAAGTGCCGGTCATTTATTTCTTATCAGGTAAAATTGAAACCTTTTTAAAAATACGAATGTTCTCTTGTCCTATTACCAAGTGCACTTTGAGCTCATCATTTCACTTGTCAACCCATTTATTTGAAACCAATGTGTTTGAATTTAATCCTGAAAGTGCTCATGTTAATTGATTGTTATTTGATTTTCATAGTCGATGCCAATTGATTAATGACACGAAGTTTCTTGTAGCCAACGGAAAATCGAGCAAAATTAGGTTCACTTGGTTAATATGTTAAAATCCTATGATATTGATACAACTGGCATTTTGTCAGATGATTTCACATCTTTCTTTATTGAAAAGTTTGTTTTAGTTTATTGTTAATTTTTTGTTAATTTTTTGTTCTTTATTGTAGGATTAACATCTTCTGTAAAGGAACTCATTCAGCAATCCGGATTCCAGAAATATGCTGCTCAACATGGAATCTGTGTTGTAGGTCCAGATACATTTCCTCGCGATGCTTTGCCCATAAGTCCACCAATAACTCGCGCTCAAATGGCAGCAATGTATGTTGATGCTGAGACACCGGGTTGGAGTGATCATTACAAGATGTACAGCTATGTAACAGTTGAACTGATCAAAACAATTGAAGAAAAGTTCAATTTCGTCCAGAAAGATAATAGATCAGTCATGGGTCACAGTATGGGTGGTCATGGAGCATTAATCTGTAGTCTTCGTAATCCAGGATTATACAAGTGTTGTTCAGCTTTCGCTCCTTTATACAACCTAGAAGGTGCTGCAGAATTTATGGTAAATCTTATTCAAGCGGAAAATGTAAAAGATTGGGATGCAACAAAGCTTATACGAAATTACAAAGGACCTTCATTGAATATTCGCATAGATCAGGTAATTACTACTTATAGAGTATTATACCTGTCAAAGCTCTTTTCAAGAAATTTACCTCAACTGTCCAATTATTATGTTATTGTACTTATTAACAAATTTTATTTCCTCCTTTTTCATTTTTGATATCTCAAGGGTGCTGAGGATTACATTCTTGGTATGTTCAGTCCTGATCGTTTCTTATCTGCTGCATTGGAAAGTAAAACAACCGTTTCATTCAACCTTATCGAAGGCTACGATCATGGATGGTTTTTCATAAAGACTTTCATCGAAGACAATTTCAATCATCATGCTAAGTTTTTGAAATCTTCAAATAATCATTAGACGACAATAAATCTTCAAATACTCATTATATGACCATTATACCCGGTATCTACAAATTGCGGATCGTTATGGGCTTTTCAAGAATAATTTATTTTATAAACATAGTTGTTTGATAATGACTGTTGCAATTTAGCTAATGGGCTTCAAATAAGTTTTATTTTATCATATTAAAATACTAGATTTGTTACATTGATAATTATTTTCAAAATACTCTACCATATAATGTCATGACAAGATTTACAGGCACATAGACCATCGAGACATTCAGTTCCACAGACGCATGTAAAAGCTTCTAACCAATTGTCACAATCAGTGTCTGCGCTCCATTTGTTGCAAGAAATACTCGATCCATAGGAAGCTGCATCAACAAATTGATTGGCACCAATAAACACAACCAGTAAAATCAAAACTAATGATCGATTGAACATTTTGTATTAATCAATAAATTAACTGAATAAAGTGAACACAAAGAAGCAAAAGTAAATACAACTGAACTCTATTCTGTTTCATCTGTCAACCATTCCTTTTATACTTTTTGAAAAGTTATATCTACTTATATTCCTATCATTTATGTTTCAGTATCGATTAAATGGATAATCAAGTTGTATTGTGATTATTATTGTTATCAACAATAATTGCGATGAAACTCTCCCAGTGTTCTGGTCGCCTGCAGAATTGATGATTGTTAACTGTTTTATCTAGATTGATTTAATTTCGCTTAGTAACAAATCCATTCATTTGAATGATTTAGTTTAGGTTATCAGTCATCTTTAACAATACCTAAACCAGAATCAATCATTTGGGATAAAAGGTTAATCATCCAATGGTTTCAATAAAGTATCATTTGGAAAACAAGATAACAATTTAAATACAGAATTTTAATTTTCAATGAGTATCTAAGCTTTCTTTTTCACCGTTTAGTTTTGTTTAAATTGTCAAGGTATGTATACAGTGTTAGTTTAACAAAATTGCCACATCCCTCTCTTTTACTCTTTATAAATACGTGTATTAAAATGCTTTGATTATAATGGTTACAATTGACTATGGCCTTTAAACAAAATATATGTGGTCAAGGTGAGATAAGCTGGACAATGAATCGTAGAAAAGAGAACGATTAATTTAAATAAAGAAATTATGTATAAAAACAATGAATTTGAGTTTGTTTTTTGTATGCAAATGCCAAGAACTAGATCTAGGTAAAAAACAAATCAAAATGTATCCAAGTGCTAATCAATTGTCAAAAGGTGTTTTGATAAGTCAAACAGTAGCCATTGACAATAATTAGAAGTTAGAAATGCGTTAAAATACAAAGTGTAAGAATGGCAGAATAGGAATGTTAGTTATTGGACTGGCGAAAAAGCAGGATTAGTTAGAGTCAATCATGACTGATTGACAGATTAATCAATCGATTGAACAATCTTACTTTATTATTGGGTAAGATTGACGTTCAATTGATCATCGGAACATAAATAATGATAAATTTTGTTTGATTAGATTAATAGATTTCCATCAGAATCTTTTGAATGCATCCATAAAATTCCTGCAGATATTTTCCAATGTGCGTTAAGCAGTCTTTAGATGTAGATATTTTCAAGATTATCAAGCTTCTTCCAATTTTTCATATCGATTTCAAGTCTTCTGAAGTGTGAACTTTAAACTTTACGATACCAGGTCTTGTATGGCCCTTTTTACGACCACAAAGTGTCTCTTCGCAAGAAAGTGTCGACTCAATCTTATTTAAATCAATAGGAATCTCAACTTGACCAATAAAGGAATCAAAAAGCAAATTGTTGTGCCAAACCTAAAATTTACAAAAAAAGCGTAAATTAATATCTAAATGTAATTAGAAAAATTATCAATTTAGATTTACCTCAATTAAAATTGTTTCAGCTGAACCATGATAAAATATAGCAGAAAAATCTTTAAAATCAGGATCCAAAGTGTTATTAACAGGACTCGATCTAACAGTATCACCTCCACAACGAATTATAAGATAAGGATTAGCATCTGGAAAAGATGATTCAGATTATGAATTAATTTGATTAAAGTCAAAACGTATTTCAAGGTGAACTACACTTAAATCAACTTTAAGTTCAATCTAATTTTTCATAGCAACATAAATGGTGGTTTATATTGTTATTTAAAATTATTGTTTGCCTTTCCTATCAGATCTTTGAATCATCAAGTTAAGGTTTAATAATGATTTAAGTGAGTTTATGTGTAGATCCAAAAACATTTACAAACGTACTTCCGAATCGATCTTGTTTCTCAATTCCATTGATAGAGTGAACCGTTACTTTGGAAACGAATTTTGGATATCTCGGTGCAAGAAAATTGAAAAAGTTTTTCTTTGGCATATCCTCATTTAATACTCTGAATTGGAGAAAAAAAAAGAAATGTAATTATTCAATTAGATGATAAAGATGACTCTAGGTGAAAAGAAAATAGCTGTTTACCTTAAATTAGATCTTGATTTAGTGTAAAGTCTAATGAGTAAATCGCTATCTGATTTACAAACTGGTTTGATTATGTATCGACCAATGTTTAGTTTGATTCGATGGAAGATGGATCGCTTTTTAACAGACTCGTGAACGTATATCATATTACAAAGGGCTGGATTGTGTAGACGATACTTTCGATTAGACTCGACTTGGTAAATTTTGAAGCCTAACAATTCGGGTTGGTCATTTTTTTGGATGAAATCAACCATCACTTCCTCTGAATCATTGGGAACGTCAAAGCAAAACTGTGTTGCTACATTTGAATGGCGAATTTCGACAAATCGATTATCTTCAATGTGTAAGCGACAAATTGTTATTGACTCAAAGTTGTCGCAAAATTTTTCAAGGTTGATCCTGTGAAAAGAGAGAGAAAAAGATAAATATTTAAGTATTAACGTAAATTGAGCGACATAATGAATGAGTAAATGTGTGTGAATGTGAAAGGGAAACAAAAATGATTAATATTAGGAAAGGAAAATGGGAAATCAATTCGACTTGTTTGTGAATTTTTAGATTATTACAAATGAATAACTAAATGATTCTTACCATTGCTCAGTATACTTTTCATCCAGAAAACTGCTTTTAGAACTGAAATAAAAGAAAAAAAATAATTGAAATATTAACAATAGAAGCTCGAGTTTTGTTAAAGTCAATCAATCAAAATGAAAACGCATAAGAATGTAAGTGAGAAAGCATGTAATTTTATAAGCGCAGCAATGAACAGCAATAGGAACAGAGTAATAATTAGTTGATAAGACAATGGATTTTGACTGACAAAGAAGCTATTCATTCGAAGTAATTTATTGAATAATATGGGTCATGGATATTTGTGTGACTTAAGGTGATTGACTGGTTGGATTAAAAGTGTATAATGATGTAATGATGATGAGTAAGTGAGTTGGATTTTTAGATGAATTAATGTTGGAAGAGAATCAAGATATTGAATAGAAAGACAAAGATCCGGCTTAAATGGATCCATTTAAAGGTAAAAACTAAAGGTACCAACAACTTCTGCCCTTTCAAGAGTTCATGATTGTTATAATCAATGAACATGGCTATTTTTAGAGCCATGACCAGACTGAATAATTATTCATAAAAAATTAGAGTTAATAAAAGGAGAAAAAGTGAGACAACAAGATGATCGATATAATCATTGGAATAGAAGTGAACTATTACTGAATAAATAAAGATTAACGTCCTTGAGATTGCAAAGGATTAGACTAAAAAAAGTAAAAATAGCTTTCAGTTTCATCTCAACAGGTTAAAATGAAACATAAAGTTGAACCCTTTATACAAATCAATGAGATTCTAATGGACACAAGGCAATTACTAATTAGAGGGCAGACTTGTAATCAAAATGTTCCAACTGGGTTAAGTTAATCAAGTTAATGGAAAGCTAACAGATAATTAGAGATGATAATGCTCAGGAAGCAACTCGATATAAATCAATTTAGGTTGGTCAGTCGAGAGATTGTCAAATGTTATTCCCTGATTGCTATTGCTGTTCAATTGATATAAAATTATTGCTATCAACAGATAATTTTCTTTTTGCTGAAATAACATTTGATTTAGCAATGAGACCGGTTGGATATTAACCTTCGTTTTTCAGGGTATATGGTATCGATTAATTTGAAACTTGCTGTTCCATCTTTTGAGTTTTTCTTGAATGTTCCGGAAGCAGGCTTCTTAACAGATGTTACCACATAGAAACGTCCTGATTTAAGTCCATTTGAATAATGATCACCAGAGTCGCCCTAATTTTATGAAAAGAAAAAGAGAAATTAGAGTCGGCTGAGAAACGCAGTAGAAATAGGAATCAGAAAAGCTCAGAAAGACTGGTGTATTGGTGAGAAAAAATGTAAGTGAATATTAGATTTTAATAAATCTTATATTCATTACTCAAAGTTTTAGGCCATTGAACTTGTAGTCAAGTTGAAATTATGCAAAATTACAACAGATTTGAGTGTTTAAAATACTGACAAGCTTTCATTGGTTGATTGGATGAAAGCTTCAATGTTTTCCTTAAAATTAGACATTTTTACATGCTAAATTGGATCAGGATTGATATGTATGCATAATGAAAGCTTTTTTCATGCATGATTTCATTGAGTCCACCAAATTGAGTCATAAAGCTGAATGTCAAGTTTCAAGAGCAACGCGCAACAAAAACTAACCCGAGTTTTAATGCAAACTAAAGATTTATGGTTAACTTCCTCGGCAATTAAACGAAAGTGGTCCTTTTCATCGTCATCTAAGCTTATTTTAATCTCTTCGGTTGGTGCTCCTGAAAAATCAGTCAGTACATTGGCCAGATTACCGAAGGTTGACATTGTCTCATAATTTCCTTTCAATTTGGCGTAAGCTTTTTCAAGTAAAGGTACCCAAAACATTTGTCCACATTGAGAAGAGGTGAAGATTAATTTGTTATCCGAGCTGGGTAGTTTGTCGTCAATTAAAACCTTTGTCCAAACTCCAAAATCCCAAATCCAAATTTTGAAGATTCCATGATCAAAATTGTTTTGATCTTTGGGTAGAATCTAGAAAAAAGCAAAATAAATATTAAAAGTTGAATGATTGATTATTTACTAAGCAAAAACAAGTTAAACAAAAATCCGAACCTCAACAACAGAAAATCAAGCAATGCAGTAATCGTGTAAACTGAGAAATTGAAATGCAATATTATAAATAGTCATAAACAGTGTTTATTGAACACTGAACAGAATTCAATAACAGCTTCTGTGTTAAAAGCCATTACGAATACTTCAGTCTGAAGTCTTCAAGAATCAAATGATTTAAAGGTTTGATTTTAAGCTAAATGAAAATAAAATGGATAAAGGTTTAGTTTTTATGATTGCTGCATTTATGTTGGGAAAATATTAGAAACTCAGAATTGGTTAACGATTAGATAATAAATTAACATCAGTAAAGTTACATATAAATTATAAGAATTTATAGCTAAGCAAATAGTCATTAATATGAAAGTGATTACATTAATACATGCACACATTTAAAAATGCTTACAATTTAACTGAGTCTGAGTTAGTCTGATGATTTTCGTGATATTAAAGGCTTAACTTTAGTGACAATTGATCCTATTACATTGTAAAGTATGAACTACAATTAGATCTGATAATATTACTAGTCAGGTAGAGTCATGACTCAGTCTTAAATAATAAAACAATGATGACAAAAAAACAAAAGTAAATTGCTTTGAATCTGTCAAGATACTTGAAATTATTGATTCAAAATAAATTCTGGGTAAAGCTATTTATATTTCTCGCTGGTGCTAGTAAATGATAGATGACGTTGTCAAATACCTTTGAAACATTATATAAATTGCAAGGTAAATCAATTTAATTTAAATCAAGTCAAATGGTGAGCTTTAACCAGGAATTTGCTACTCTTGATATTTTGAAAAGCTTAATAATGCAAGAAAAATTATCTAATGATCGCTGCTTCAATCAAGCAGACATTAAAATGGTCCAATTACAGAACTTTAGATTGAAATCTCTGCTAACCTTAAAATATCAAAGTTGCTTTGCTCTTTCACTAATAATACAAAGATGATTCTACAACTGAACTTTAGCTTAACAATAAAAAACAGAAGTTATTAATTAATTGCAAAGGAGGAGATGGGAACTTGATAAATAAAATTACCTTGTAAACCAAATTCTTATCTTGCGATAAAGCAACAGCAGCCGCAACGAACCACTCGTTTGGCCCATAACCAAGAAATTGAATATTTGTGTTGGGTCCCAATTTGTCTTTAAATAATGTAAAGGGCTCAGAGGTAAGTTCACGAGGTCGTTTCCATGTTATTTTACCAGCGGCCAGTCTATTTTTAAATCCAATTGACTTGTAAACTGAAGAGTCTTCGGCTTTAAAATTATGGTCCACGTAGCTAACACCAGTTTCTTGGCACTCTTTGACCACTTTACTGTACTTCTCTTTGCCCAAACACTTACGTGGTCGAAATGAACTGGATCCCATGATTAATTAATTTCCAACTGGTGGCAATTTAAATTTCAAGACAATGAAACAGGTGTAATGATTGTTAACAGGATACAAATTTGTAAAATCACCGGATTAAAATAAATAAATTAATAACAATGGATAAGGTAGAAGATAATTGGTAGAAGTAACTGTAAATTATTAGTAGTTGAAAAATGTAAACTTGTAAATGGAGGAAAACATGAAATCTGGATATGATTGAGATTTGTTGTTGAACCAGGTTGTGTTGGATTGCAGCTTCTTCCAAACACTTTATTTCATCCAATGACAATAGCTCATCCCTTTTGCCAACATGAAAATTCAGGTTGCGAGGATATTAAAAGCCTGGTAATAATAATAAATAATCACAGTTCAGGTGAAATTAGATGATTGATGGAATCACAGTTAAAAGGTTGACAGGCAAAAACTGCGTTAGTCATAGCGCATTAAGAATCCATAGAAAGAAGAAAACATTTGATGTGGTGAAAAAAGCAAGCAAGATTGATCATGATAATGAAAAGGAAAACAAAATATGAAAATTACATGAAGAAACAAACCATTCAAACCGATGACAATTAACTTAATTAACTAATCAAGATACCATGGTCATTTAAAGAAGGATTAAATTGAAGAAGAAGACTGAACTCATATTCAAATGATAACAACGACACATCTTTTCGAAAACTTGTCAACAACCAGTCTTAAACTCAGAGTTTGCTTAAACTGGTTTTCATGCGCAAGCTTTTGCCAACTCCTATTTTCTTAGAACCGCAACCTTTAAATTTACCATTTAAACAGTTAAAGTGTCTTGAACTGACGTTCAATTGAAACATTTGTAGATAACTGTTTTCGTTAATTTTTTAGCTCTTCGAACGGACTATAAATGAATTAAAATGTAATCATCACCATCTCAATTTAATACATTAATTTATATCATGTTTTTGGACATTTTTTTAAATTTAGCGATCATGTTATCGAATCAGTTGTTGCTGTAAAAATAATAAAGTATATATTAGTATGTACATTGTACAAGTATTGGTAATTTATTTGCCTTACAGCTTACATGAGACCCTCGCGACCATAGCTCATCGGGTAGAGCACCATTGATATCCAAAAATTGTTTTTTGTTTAACTTGTTTAATATGTTTGAGCATTTTATTTATAATGCATCTAACCATTTCCATAAAACTAGCAAAGTAATTCAACAAATTATCAATGTAATTGTAAAATTTTGTTGACGAATAACATTCATAATATGACTTTCGCCAGCATTTTTGAACTTTCAACTCAATTTATCTCAGACACGATTTAGATTCAATAAATTCAACTGGTAAAACTCCGATAGACTCAAAATTGGATTAATTCTAATGTAGTTTTCGAGATTTGATTGTTCATTGCAACGAAAATGAAAGTTGCACAGAAAAACGGTGTTTTGCTAGTTATCAATGATGCTCTACACGATGAGCTAACATTATGTTCCATGCGTTCCAGCTGTTGAGCAGTCCAACAGTTTTTGAGGCTAGCTTACATGTAAACTGAATTGATATAGTTTAAACAAATTGGCTTAGACAAGTAAAGTTGACTTATGAGTTTCTATTTGAGCTGATTATTCGCAAGGTAAGCTAATATTTTGGATAATTGTTGAAATGATTTAAATTAGAATTGCTCCAATCCTAGTCCTCGTTCAATGATACCTTGTGATTGATATATTATAGTGTAATCAGATTGATAGAGATTAGTACCTGTGGATCAAACTATGGATTCACAATTAAGTGTCTAACAGTTCAGATACATGCCCATTGAATTATCAGTGAATCTTTTGATTTGCTGATTCTCTCTTTTTTCACTTCTAAACATAACCGTTGTAGGTGTCGCTACAATTAAAAATCATTATATGCGAATACACAATCAAATATTAGTTGATACTTTGGCAAATGAATAAGAACTGACCTTTAAGCTCTTCACAAATCTATTTATCAAAAACACAATTGGTTTCAAATAAGATTTTAACGAAAATAAGCTAAATTATTCTAGTTTTGTTTCTCACAAAAGAGTTATCTTCATAATTGACGGGGCTAACATGTCTTTTGAGAACGATGGCTGGAACGGTGTAAGTATAACTGAAGATAAAATTCTTTGCTATTATGAAAAGCTTTTTTGGAAATCTCTTTTCGTTTCTATAGGATTTTAAGCTGTTAGTTCCGCTTTGGCAGCTTTCATCAAAAGATTGGTAAAATTTAAAAAATCCAAAACCCGAAAATTTCTCGAATAACTGGACTAAATCCAGAAAAACAAATGTGCAGTGAAACTACACATGGTGCATCTGATGCGTAATATGTGACCATTTTGGTTGCTTAAAACTGTATAAATTCGCTAATTAATCTTTTCGTCTTTTTCAATTTCTAAAATGACTTGTAAATTGATTCTTTCATCAACAAAATTATTTCTCGGTAAAGTTTCTGGATCGTGTGTCGGTTAAGTTTCCGCCTACGTGTCGATTAGACGCTATACCACGTTTGGGTTAAGTTTCCGGATCCGCGCCGGTTCGATCGCGAGATCGCGTGTCAGTTTAGTAGACATACCTCATGCCAGTTGGGTTTCCGGATCCGCTTCGGTTAAGTTTCCGGGAGTTTTTAAACTGTGTTTACATTTCATCTAACTCATTCTTTCAACAATTTATTCAACTGATGCAGACGAAATTTTTTTTATTGATTTTGATTTTGAATTGTTTCAACCGATTTCAGGGACAGTCCTAAATCAAAATCAATAAAAAAAAAATCGAAAAAATTTCCAATTTTTATTTCAAAAATTGAGTTATCATGACATAATCATAACGCCATTGAGCTCCATTGGAGTGGAAATACGTTGGTGCCACATCCACCGTATTCAATTTAAAGATTTCGATAATTTTAGCTAGGCTCCTATCGTGTTCGTTCCCAATCATATCTCGGGTAATATCAGCATTGAAATCGCCAACTACTACAATTCCTGGATGGATCCGAATGTTTATCGTCTGCATCGAGACCATTGTGCTTTAATCTGGTAATTACAGCACCTAAATAAATGTCGGGGGAAAGCATTCTGGTTGTCAAACCTAGCAAATTGCACATATTAATATGATCATGGCGTAAATTAAAAGTTAAAACATTCAACTGTTGCTGAACTGAACTAGCCATGAGTATAAAAAACTTAGTTGAAAAAACTAAAAAATAACAGTACATAAAACATAATTAATGAACAAAATAAACATTTGCTTTATTGGTTGCCTTTTCTTGGGTTTTTTGCTATAATTCATGAAACTACAGTGGTACTGTATAATGACTGTGTGAATGGTAACTACGAGGAAAGTACCTGAGACAGTTGGAGCAACTCTCATGCGAGATTTAAGAATCATTGACTGTGTAAACAAGCAGCATAGTATATTATATTATGAGATTTTGGGGTTTAAAAACAACAATCTTGTACATACGTAAATACCAATATGTAACAATAATTTAAATTAGCCGCCAGTAAACTGACAGAAGCTCCCATGTTAATTAATCAAAAGATAATCTTTCCTTCTAATCTTTTAGACCTTTAATCATTCGCTTTTTTAATCGTTTTTTTTAATCATTTCAATTTTAATTAAATCCATCATGGCTCCATTTCACATGTTGACAAAACTCTGCTTCCTTTCAAAAGTCCACTGGTAAGTAAATTAAAGTTTTTTAGTTTTGTGTAATTTTACTTTAGCTTACATTTTGTTGTTTTCATTTCTTTTTCAGAAAGCCAAACAGCCTTCTATAGACAAGGGAAAACCAAACCAAAACAAGCCAGTCAGGCCAATAAGGTATTTATAATCTTTATTAGGAATTTTATTTTGGTAATAATTTAATTTTTATTAATATCATGCACCATTTCCTTTATTCCTATGAAAGGCACCACTGGTAAGGAAAAGCGTTGAAAGTGCTTCAGGCTCGCTTGTGACAGAGAATGCTTATAAAGTCAATGTGGTAAGTAATGCTAATTAAGTATTGCTAATTATTCGAATATCAATATAATGATTAAATGAAATTTACATTTTACTTTTTTACAGGAAGTGTCGCACGTTTGTTTACAAGAGTTGCGAGCTTTTTTCTCAGCTAAAATACTTCAGTCATCCTCGGAACAAGGCACGTTTTATGGTTGTGTCGAATATTGAACTTATTATGAAACTGGGAAATTTCTTCGCCTGAACAAGGAATACAAATTTAAGGAGTGTGATCCTGCAATACCAGCGTCAAACGTGTTACTAGCTAAGGCCCCTAAACGTGACAACAAAGTTTACAGGTGCGCTCATTGTTTGAATAATTGGCACGGCAGGCAACAATTTTGAGGTTCACATGAACGGAAAAATTGTAAATAATAAAGTCATAGAACCTGCGAGTGGTATCCGCAAAAAAATTGAACCGGCAATCCGTGGCGTTTATGCAAAAGCTAGTAAACAAGCAATACTTGTAAACGTATGAAAATATTGTGAGAACATTGTAATATATGGAATCCAAATTTGAAGCTGAAATGAAATTTATGATTGTAAAAGATCCATTCCTTGAATATTAAATCTTTTCTAAACTGTAGACATTCTTATTTTCATTTCTACAATCTACATCGATTGATCAATTACTGTAGACCATTTCTTATCTGATTTCAGATCTATTGAAACTACAGTGGTTCAACTTTGTGTCGACTGTGTGCTTGTTGATTTGAGCCGGATTTGACCGAATAAACTGAATACCAGGTGAATCTGATTCAAGTTGCTTTGATCTAGTGATTAAAGGTTTAAACAAGACATCCTCTCCTGGTATTCCTAATGGCTGGGTACAATTTTTATTGAATTCTACAAAACCTTTTAATGATTCAAGCAGGACATCTGAAATTGACCATAGCAAGCACTGGTTCACCATATAACCAGCATCATATGCCATGACAATTTACACAGTGACCACACAGTAGAACCACTGTAGTTGCATACAAAACAAGTTCTCAATGGTTTTTTAACAAGTTTTTTGACAATTTCTCAAGGATATTACACGAATCTTACAATTCTTAGTTTTTAGTGTATGTCCAAAAATAATAATGAAAAGAAAAGAAACATTGCCCAAACTTGATTCGAACCAAAAGAACCATAAACCTTTGCAAGTGCTATAACCCTTGCGCCAACGCATCTAATTGAAATCACATAATTTTAATTTTAATTAAAACAAAGATGTCTCAATTTTAAACCAAAAAACTGAGGAATCACTGAATCTACAGAGAAAAGCAACATCTCATCAAAATCCCTCAGGTAAGGTTGAGGACCTTCCCTTGTTAGTTTGATAGAAGAAATAAGCCACCAACAGAGATTGGCTTCTATTCATCTTTCATCTCAATCTTCGATCTTTTTTATCACTATCGATTACTCTATACGATTCATCCATAAAGAATAAAAAGAAAAGAAAATGTCTCAAGGTTGCTTTTATGATCACAGTATTGATCTTTTCTAATCAGAGTCCTCTAAAATATGTGTTTCTCACAAAAGAGTTATCTTCATAATTGACGGGGCTAACATGTCTTTTGAGAACGATGGCTGGAACGGTGTAAGTATAACTGAAGATAAAATTCTTTGCTATTATGAAAAGCTTTTTTGGAAATCTCTTTTCGTTTCTATAGGATTTTAAGCTGTTAGTTCCGCTTTGGCAGCTTTCATCAAAAGATTGGTAAAATTTAAAAAATCCAAAACCCGAAAATTTCTCGAATAACTGGACTAAATCCAGAAAAACAAATGTGCAGTGAAACTACACATGGTGCATCTGATGCGTAATATGTGACCATTTTGGTTGCTTAAAACTGTATAAATTCGCTAATTAATCTTTTCGTCTTTTTCAATTTCTAAAATGACTTGTAAATTGATTCTTTCATCAACAAAATTATTTCTCGGTAAAGTTTCTGGATCGTGTGTCGGTTAAGTTTCCGCCTACGTGTCGATTAGACGCTATACCACGTTTGGGTTAAGTTTCCGGATCCGCGCCGGTTCGATCGCGAGATCGCGTGTCAGTTTAGTAGACATACCTCATGCCAGTTGGGTTTCCGGATCCGCTTCGGTTAAGTTTCCGGGAGTTTTTAAACTGTGTTTACATTTCATCTAACTCATTCTTTCAACAATTTATTCAACTGATGCAGACGAAATTTTTTTTATTGATTTTGATTTTGAATTGTTTCAACCGATTTCAGGGACAGTCCTAAATCAAAATCAATAAAAAAAATATCGAAAAAATTTCCAATTTTTATTTCAAAAATTGAGTTATCATGACATAATCATAACGCCATTGAGCTCCATTGGAGTGGAAATACGTTGGTGCCACATCCACCGTATTCAATTTAAAGATTTCGATAATTTTAGCTAGGCTCCTATCGTGTTCGTTCCCAATCATATCTCGGGTAATATCAGCATTGAAATCGCCAACTACTACAATTCCTTCCTACAATTCAATTCATTCTTTCAACAATTTATTCAACTGATGCAGACAATATTTCAGAACTAGTATTGAGTACCCATGCATTTTTAATGTCTTTTCATGTTTTCACGAAAACGAAAAATTTTGCGCAAAAATAAATTGAATGAATGAAATCAGCGTAAAATTTTGCATCTGATATGTTAATAACAAAAATATTCCTCGCTAGGCATTTTTCCCTATTCTTTTGGTCTTCATCCTTTTACATTAAACAGATAAAATCACTTATCAAGATATCGAAACTATTTTACAAGTCCAAAACTAGGTAATACTAGTAGCAACTGTTTTGCAATACAGTCAAATTCACTATATTCCGTTTTTTGGAGGGCTCAAATCTGTGTGAACTACGGAGGAAACTAATAATTTTACAGTTTAATCCAGTCTAGGTAATTCCCTTTAGCTTTTCCCCATTGAAGGGAAGTCATTTGATCAATTGTTTAAACTGTAAATTAATTGTTTCCCCCGTAGTTCACACAGATGTGAGCACTCCAAAAAATCAAAATATACGGAATTTGACTGTATTCCTATTGATACAAAGTTATTCGTGGAAATATGATTCAGAAGACTTTACCCAACCCTGTACTTTGCATAGTAAACAATAAACATTCTAGATGGAGCCACTTTATCCATTAAAAGTTTTCTCGTTTTTCAACCGTTTATTGATTGAATTTCACAAAAAGTATGATTAAATTGGTTTGATTGAATTGTTTTGTTAAAATTTGATAATATCCTTTTCTTCCCAGGTTGTACCAAATAAAGTTCAATACTGTTAAATTGTTTCAATTTAATCATGAAATGGGAATAACAAGTAAAATGAAAAGACAAAACTCTCACGAGATTCAAGTTAAACCAAAGAAGCCAAAATCAACAAAACAAGAGCAACCTTAACAAAGTCAAAAAACTGACTGAACCAAAGACATTCTTGAAAAAGGTTGTGACAGTAACACAAACAACAGCAACAGCCTCAGCAACAACAACAAAAGAGGTTATATCAAAATTGGATAGTTTAACCATAGGCGAAAGGAGCCTCTAAAAAAAGAGGTTTGTATTGTTGAGCAAAGATGAGAAATCGTTGAGCGGAACAAACCTGAGAATCTCAGGAGAGGAAAAGAAACTCAATTTTTATGTATATCAGAATCTCTTTTTGTCTCTTCAATTTAAACCTTTTCTCTTGCCTTTCTCCAGTTTTAAATTAAACACAACATCATTTTGGCGTGTTTTTTGGTGGAAAAGCCAAGAGACGAAGAAAGGCTCAAACTCATGAATGGTATTTAATTAACTACACAAGAGTGGAGACTCAATGGAAAAGGTAAAAGGTTGAAAAAAAAGTAAACCAAGTTGAACCATTAAATGGTAAACAATTTCATCAATTTTCCCTTCTCTCACCCTCATAATCATCTCATCATTTCACCCATTTTTTTACCCATTTACCTGAAACCTTTCCTTTTTTCCCATCCAATGGCATTTCAATCAACTGTCAACTGTTGAAGGTAGCAACTCGATAAGTATTGATTGGTACAAGACACAGAAAAAAAGACTGAAACTAATCTGAAAAATTTTCTTGTAATTACATGATTGAACGGTGAAAATATATGGTCAATAACAATCAGTAAATCATTTGATTCTGTGGCGACTAAAAGTGAATCAATCAATGAACCATTTCTCAGCCATTTGTTTTGATATTTTTACTCGTTTCTCACAAATCTAATAACTTAACCATGCAATTTGAGAATCAAAATTGTTACTTCATGATCTTTCCTCTTTGAATCTCAATCATTTTTCAGGCTTCTTCCTAATGAATAATTTCAATCTTTTTATTGTTTTTATTGATGGCAACAACCAGACTCTGAAAATGGTTTAGTCAAAATTTTGTCTTGACTTGAAAAGGAAAAAAACATTTCTCACATTATTTTCACGTTTTCACTCAAATTTTTGTTTCTTTACTGAACTTTTTCTCTCTCTCTCTGAACATGAAGCAAAAGATGAAAGGTAAGAATCTTTTATCATCTTATTCATCACTCAATTTCCTTCTCATCTCCATCATTTTCATTCACATTATCTTTTAATGTCACGAAATGTTAATCAAGTTAAAAATGTGAGTTTTAAATCACACTTTATCATTTGCTTTTTTGTTCAAAAATGAAATTTCATTTTTCATCTCGCCTAGGATTTTGTTCAACCCAACCCAAGCTGAATCCAGCAAAAGGTAAAAGGTAAACATGATGGATTAACAAGATTATCAACTCTTTTTCGCGATTGGAATGAAAAGAAATTCAAAATTTGTTATTAATAATATTTAATTTAGTTGTTTGATGAGATCAATAAAAAGACGCTCTGTTATTATTGTTAGCAATTTACAATTTGTTTTTCTCTTACTATTTACATTACAAAAAAAAGATTCAGATTGTTAATCACAAGTAAGAGATTTAAGAGAAGAGTCAAGAAGACAAAAAAATTGAATCAAAATTTTCATCATTAACATGATAGTCAGTCACACTGGAGTTGTTAAGTTGTCAAGACACAAAGAGTTAATCAAGTGAATCGTAATAATACAATTAATCCAGTTTTTTTTTGCTGCAACTCATCAGGTAAACAAAGGAAGAGTAAAAAAATGGTTTTGCAAATTGGAAAGACAATTAATTATTTTGATGAGATTTGTATTTTTTTTCCTGTCCTCAGCAATCAGGTAATCAGTCAGGTTGCAAGTTGAAAGGTGAAGAGGAAGAAACATGAGAAGGAACAAAGAAAAAAAATGTTTCAATTGATTTACAGTTTTGTTACACTTTTGGTATGCTGTGAGTAACAATTGTTTTTCCTGTTCGGTTAACTGTGATTATGTTCATCATGAATC